GGAATATATCGGTCCACTCCTTCTGGTACCTCCCCACAAAAGGTCGAAATTGTGAATACAAAATGAACAATATTGGCCCATTACTTCAGAACCTACTGCATAGAAGGTCAACAATTTGAATAATCATAACACAAGTCAAAATATATTTTAATAATCGAACATTGGCTGAGGGTATATATCTGTCGCCTAAACCGAGAGATATCTTTTAACTTGTTTCACTTTCACTTTGCCTTTGTTTATTTGTTTGTAAGATGCACAAGGAAACAAGAAAGATCCATGAATCCTTTTCATGATCTCCGTAGAATCACATTTTGAGTTGAATTATGCATTTTCGCCATCTGTCCATGTATTTTTATAAGCAGAGTACAGCTGGGATTTATTGTTCGATTGAGATGAAATTTTGCAGAGTTGTGTGGCCCAGTGACGAATGAAATGTGATAAAGAGGTCATTATTGTACCCCAAATGAAAAAATTGTGTCTGTTTTGATCATAATCACTTCAGATACAGCTATATCTATCATCGATACTCGATACATACACTTCATAACGATGATATACGGTACAAGATATTTCCAAAATTCTGCCGAGATCGATGCAATATTGGATATAGCTCCAATATATATATTCACGTCCGATTTAAATTTCTCTGCGCACCAAGGGTATAAAACCATCCAAGATAGAATGGATTGTGGCACATTCGACAGAATTTAGCCTGGAAGCAAATATGTCAAATTTGGTGAAAATCGGTACAGATATAGCTGTGACAAATACGCTTCACCCGATTTTCGTTTAATTTTTCTCAATGTCATAAAATACACTCTAAAGCAATGATGTTTAGTACGAAAGGTCACATACAGCTTAAAAACACCTCTGGCAACTCAAGTGCAAATAGATTAAGATATAGTTTCATATGTTGCTTTTATCCAATTTTAAATCTAACTAGACCTAAAGCCGTAGAACGCAATCAGTAAATATCATAGTTAGTATGACCTGCTTTACATAAATTCACTATGTAAACATTTATTTGTTTAGGGTGGTACCCGGACATAATCTCCAATCTGACCCGAAAACCCGGTCATAATCCCCATAATTGCAATGATTATAATGTTTAAAACAACTATAGATCGCGTAGCCAGTGTTAGACATGCCAGTAGAAAATCTCAAGCCGCTACTTACAGTATGTATAAAGGTTAAAAGAATTATGGATCGCGTAGCCGGTGTTGGGCGTACCCCAGGAGAAAATTTATAGGACCGACCGAAAGCTTCTTAGAAAAGACATGAAAATTAGATACATATCAGTGGAGAAAATCTCAATTTCATGATTTTTGTCACTAATATCTTTGGACATACAAGATATATCAACACATTTGACACCACTTAGGAAGCGCAAGAGAGTAGGCTATAATGTAGTATGTAGAAATTAATTCTCCATAATGGGTCCGTTTTCGATTTTTTAGGAGTTTTTCCAAAAGTTCCGGTGCAAAAATTCTATTTTTTTTTGCTCCGGAACGTTTTTAAACAGCCGCTTGCTGTATAGGTATATCCATACGCTTTCAAATAATACCAATTTACATATCAGTTTTGTAGAATCGGATAAGACCCCGATTTTGTATCCAAACTTTCTGGTCGCATAACCGGGTATTTCCTCTATAATTTCCCAACGAAAAAGGGGTTTATATCAGTGGGAATTATGCCATGACACAGTTGAGAGTATCATAAAGTTGACCGCCCAACTTTTGTCCATTCTTTAATGGTTTTCGATTACAATTTGTTGTACTTATCAATCACAACATTAACAAAAAAAAAAAAAAAAAAAAAAAAAAAAGCAAAATTATTATCTTTTTGGTTTGATATACATTAAAATTCGTAAAAGTTACAAACAAGATCAAAATAAGCTTCGGAGTTCAAAAACTTCCGATGTTCTTTTCCAAAGTTATATTTATCTAAAAATTGGTACGTGTAGTTCATAGTGGGTTGTAACTCCGGTGGCGAAACATTGTATGTGCAAGTTCACGTTTTACTATGGCACACATAAGGGCACCTTAGCATATTCGGTATTTTGACGATTTAAAACACATTTCCGAAGGATCTTGGGATCTAACTGGTAGTGGAACACTATACTATAGAAATGCCTTTATTTATTGAGCGCAGCACTTCTACATATTTTGTACATTAATCAATTTACAATATGGCTTCAATCTCACTATTTGGTCGTTACAAACGTTTGGATCAAAATAAGCTTACCTCTCAAGGGTATAAATACGACAAAGTTAAAGAAAACGTTAATTCGAATAGAGTGTTTCTAAATGTGACATACTCTAATATATTTTGTAACCTTGTGCGTATTTAGCATGTAAAGAATTTGACTTTTTACTGATTCATTAAAATGTCAAAAGCATTTCTCTAGTTTGTCATTTGAAATTTTTGTCGATTTCAATCTCAAACACTTCAGAAACTACAAGAGTCTGCTGGCAAGAACATTGATTTGCTCTGCGTTCCTTCCAAGCACCATTGTTTCAAAACTACAAATATTTCCGAGTATTGTTCGGTATTAAGTGTCTAGAAATCCTTTGTTAAGATTCGAAATGATATGGATGGGTAGAAGTTAACATGGTTCAAATATGTATTTTTGTGTTATTGAAAATATTTGTGTTTGATTGAGCTATGATGAATGACAACTCAATAGAATAGGTTATAATAACCGAAACTTAGGAGTGTTGTAGATAGGCGTCATTAGAAAACTGTATTAGATTTTGAAATTCCACTTATTGTGCGAGATAAGGAGTCAGACATCATAATTCCAAACATAATTCCGAATTGTAAATATTGTTTATATGAGTTGATTATTATACCCTCTACCATAGTGTGGACGGAATACTGCGTGAAATCTGAAATTTGACATTTTTTTGCTTTTTGTGTTTTTGGAATATGTACTAATACGAAGAAAATGGTACCAAATTTGGTATTTGGAGGAAAACATTGAGTTGGAAGTCTTAAGTTTGCCACTGGGATTAACTTTTTTACGGTTTGGTTGATATATGGAGAGGAGATTCGAAAATACCTACCAAAAAAGTACGGAAAATATTAGAAAGTATTAACTGTAGTATTTAGGGAAGGAACATAGCTAGAAATCTGACAATTGGAATGAGAGTCTTCAAAGAATAGGTTTTTCGAGATTCGAACCGTAAGTGTGCCAAAAGTACTAAAATGCATTAAATTTGATGCTATTTGGAGATATGTGAACGGATAAAGGTAAAAATTTCAAGTTCGGTATGAGAATAACGTTTGGAAAATAGGCTAGTATAACAAAGGGTTTTAATATACATTCCTTCTCCCATTTTAAAATACATAATAAGTGATAAGATGATGGTAATAGCTGAAATCACCGAAAATTTAATATTTTAGGACACCGCCATTTTAAAATATGATCATAACTCCTATAACATTGATAAATCTTTAAATATAATGCTTTAAAAAGTATTCACAAGATTTTTAGCCATTTCATTCCCGTTTTAAAAAGTAATCACAAATAATAATAAATGCCGAAAAGTCAAAATATATAAGGAGTTATGGCCATTTTAAAATATTGAATATCTCATGCTTTAAAAGGTGATCACAAATAATAGCTAAAAACGTCGAAAACTCAATATTTAAGGAGTTTTGGTGATTTTAAAATTCTACATAATTCATGCTTAAAAAAGTTATCACGCCGAAAACTCAATATTTAAGGAGTTATGGCCATTTTAAAATTCTAAATAATTCATGCTTTAAAATGTGATCAGAAATAAAAGCTAAAAACGCCGAAAACTCAATATTTAAAGAGTAATGGCCATTTAAAAATTCTACATAATTTATGCTTTAAAAAGTGATCACAAATAATAGCTAAAAACTCCGAAAACTCAACATTTAAGGAGTTATGGTCATTTTAAAATATTGAATAACTCAATAACTCATAACTCAATATTTAAGGAGTTATGGCCATTTTAAAATATTGAATAATTCATGCTTTAAAAAGTAATCAGAAATAATAGCTAAAACGCCGAAAACTCAATATTTAAGGAGTTATGGCCATTTTAAAATTCTAAACAATTCATGCTTTAAAAAGTGATCACAAATAATAGCTAAAAACGCCGAAAACTCAATACTTAAGGAGTTATGGCCATTTTAAAATTCTAACTAATTCATGCTTTAAAAATTGATCACAAATTATAGTTAAAAACGCCGAAAACTCAATATTTAAGGAGTTATGGCCATTTTAAAATATTGAATAATTCTTGCTTTAAAAAGTGATCACAAATAATAGTTTAAAACGCCGAAAACTCAATATTTAAGGAGTTATGCTCATTTTAAATTTCTAAATAATTCATGCCGAAAACTCAGTAGTTAAGGAGTTATGGTCATTTTAAAATCCTAAATAATTCATGATTTAAAAGGTGATCACAAATAATAGCTAAAAACGCCGAAAACTCAATATTTAAGGAGTTATGGCCATTTTAAAATTCTAAATAATTCGCTCTTTAAAAATTTATCACAAATTATAGCTAAAAACGCCGAAAACTCAATATTTAAGGAGTTATGGCCATTTTAAAATTATTAGTAATTCATTCTTTAAAAAGTAATCACAAATAATAGCCATAATTATATGGCCATTAATAACGCCGAAAACTCAATATTGAAGGAGTTATGGTCATTTTAAAAAATTGAATAATTCATGCTTTGAAAAGTGATCACAATAAAAAAACGCCGAAAGCTCAATATTTAAGTAGTTATGGCCAATTTACTTCAGATGGCATGGCCTGGTAAAAATAATGATTTGTTAGTAAGGTGATTTGTGTAATTTTATTAAAACCAAATATTAGAAATGGTAAGTTTTCCTATGTGGGTCGATAAAATTCATATTTGACCCAGCATATATTTGTTAAGGACATGCGTCACTTTTAGCACTACTGGTACTGTAGGAGAATGGCTGCTTGAGCCAGAGCAAAAAAAACACAATAAAATGTTCTTTAAAATTTATTGTCACTGGGGCAATTTTATTTAATCAAAATTATAATTAAATATAATTTGGTAATAGTTTTGCTCCTGATGGGACACTTAATTCTTATTAATATTCTTAAACTTTAATTTATAAAATTTGCGACTTAGGTCGTTTTGTTTGTATTAGCAGCAAGGCAGAAAATTATGTTAGCGTTAGATCGATTTAATGCAGCACGGCAGAGAAAAGGAACAATACTAAAAATAGATTTGTAATCGTCAACATAACGAGCCAGCATTGATCATATTTACTGTCTCTGCTGACGCTATTGCTTTGTTTACATTTCCACTCATTAGGGTAAATAGAGAAATTAACAACAACAACAAAGCATAACGTAACGGAGGCAGCAAAGATCATTGTCCGGCTTATGTTGAGACAAATATTGACCTTGAATCGAAGAATGCGATTAAAAGAGGAATTGCCAAAAATTGCAATTAGAAAAGAAATAGGGATGCCGGTTGAAAAATTTACAATGTAATTAGGGATGTCAGTTCAGACAAATAGGGATTGTAAATTATAATAAAAATAATAAGTTAATTATAATAAATGAAATAATAAGACTTAGAATAAAAATAATAAAATACTTTTGCTCCAACATTCCCCCGCACAAAGAACAACTGTTCTTGACCATGATGAATGATGAGGTGTTTTATTTGGTTTTAGAGATTACCATGCTATGCCTCTGCTCACAGCAACTCTTATGTTGGCCTTGTGGGGGATTGAAAGAGTCTTGAAGAGGAAGTAGTGCGACTTTGGAGACAGGACGTTTGTAGATTTTTCCATTCGACTTTAATGAGACAACTCTTACTTTTCCATCAGTACCAGGATGAACATCGATAATTCGGGCAAGCGGCCACTGGCCTGGAGGCAATCTTTCATCGAAAATAATGACAAGATCATCGACTTCAAGATTCTTTTGAGGTTTGAGCCATTTAGGGCGAGACTGCAAACGGTTTACATATTCTGAGGACCAGCGTTTCCAGAATTGTTGTTTAAGGAGTTGGACAACTTTCCACCGGGACAGTCTATCAATGGAGAAATTTAACAGATTTTCTTCTGGGACACATAAAATCGGTTCTCCAACGAGAAAATGAGATGGAGTTAGTGCTTCGAAATCTGAAGGGTCAGGCGAAATAGGACATAGCGGTCTTGAATTGAGACATCCTTCAATTTGAGCCAACAGAGTTGCCAATTCTTCGTAAGTAAGAATGCGATGCTCCATGATGCGTTTTAAATGATGTTTCGTGGATTTTACGCCAGCTTCCCAAAGTCCTCCAAAATTTGGGGAAGCCGGTGGAATAAAGTGCCAATTTGTGCCATTGTCAGCTAGTAGGTTTGCCAAATCTTCCGGTAGAGATTCTGTATTTCTTCTTTGTAGAATCTTAAGTTCCTTATTAGAGCCAATGAAATTCGTGCCACAATCGGAGTAAAGGTCTGAACACATCCCTCGTCGTGATGTGAACCTTCTGAAGGCAGCAATGAAAGCATCAGTAGAAAGACTTGTTACGGCTTCAAGGTGAAGAGCTTTCGTGACCATACATATGAAGAGACAGATGTATCCTTTTGTCGTGACAGAATTCCTGGCCGTTGATTGCTTAATGGTTATTGGGCCAGCGTAATCCACACCACTATGTTTAAAAGGTCTTGTGGGTTGCAATCGCACAGACGGAAGATTGCCCATTATTTGCTGCAGGGATTTGGCCTTGTACTTAAAGCACGTAATACATTGGCGTTGGACCTTTTTAGCAAGATTTCGGGCAGATAATATCCAAAACCTTCTAGTGACATAGGCTTGCATCTGGATGAGACCTCCATGAAGTGTCTTCTTATGAGCATCTGTAAATATTAAGAGAGATAAAGGACTGTGTTTGGACAATAACATAGGATATTTAAAATCATAGTGAAACTTAGCTTTTTGCAATCTGCCTCCAACACGTAGTACGCCATCGTCGTCAATAAAGGGACACAATTGGGCAATTTTGCTACTTGGACGAATGCTTCTTCCTGTCTTTAATATTTGTAGTTCCTCGGGGAAATCGACGTCTTGAGACAAAATAACAAGTTTTTGTAGCGCCTTATTCAATTCCGTCGCTCGAAGAAAGCCTTTATGTCGGATTTTAGAACCAGGTTTGTATTGAAGAAATCTCAAAATATAAGCCATGACTCGAGTTAACTTAGTAAGAGAAGAGTAATCAGTTAATAAATCCGGATATTTTGACACAGTAGAAGAATGAACGTTAAGTGATTTCCGCTTTTCCAGATTAGTGTCATAAGAGTTGTCTGGTTGTTTGGGCCAGAGATTTTGAGGATGAGAGAGCCAAAGAGGACCAGACCACCAAAGAGGATGTTGAACTAACTCAGTAGACGTAATACCACGGGAAGCACAGTCAGCAGGGTTGTCATGAGTTGAAATATAGCGCCATTGAGATATGTTAGAATGTCGTTGGACTTCACCGACTCGATTTCCAACGAAAACGTTCCATCTGGACGACTCTCCTCTGAGCCAGCACAAAACGGTAATACTATCAGTCCAGTAATAAACATTAGTAATGTTGAGATCCAGCATATCGTGTACTTTATGCATCAGTTTTGTTAAAAGCGTTGCTCCACATAATTCTAACTTCGGGATAGACAAAACCTTTAGGGGGGCAACTTTTGTTTTTGATTGTAGTAAGTTTACTACACCTTCTCCATTATCATTCAAAATTTTAATATAAACCGCGGCTGCAAAAGCTGAAGTAGATGCATCGCAAAATCCGTGCAGCTCGACGGGGCATTCTTTAAAACTGCCTAACCAGCGGGGAATGGCAATGTTTTCGATGCCTTTTAATCGTTTTAAGTAAGAGTGCCAATTAGATTTCATTGTATCAGAAACATCATCTTTCCAATCGAAGCCTTCGAGCCATAACTTTTGGAAATAAATTTTCGCTTGTATCGTGACAGGTGCTAGCCATCCCAAAGGGTCATATAATTTGGCGGCATCAGAGAGAAGACTAGCTTTTGTGACGTGAGGTTTTATGGGAAAATTAACCTCAAATGAAAACGTATCTTTGTCAGTATTCCAACATAAGCCCAAGGCCTTTACCAAGTTTGGTCCATTTAAATCAAAAACATTTGACTTTTCACGGAAGTCTTCTGGTATGTGGGACATAAGCTCTGGAGAGTTAGAAGTCCACTTACGTAAATTGAATCCTCCAGCAGAGAGTAGTTGGACCAACTGTTTTTGCAAAAATATTGCTTCGGACTCAGAGTCAGCTCCAGAAATAATATCGTCGACATAAGTATCAGATTTTAAAATCTTACAAGCTTCAGGGAAAGTTTTTCTTTCATCTTGAGCCAATTGATGAAGAACTCTTATTGAGAGATACGGAGCCGAGGAGGTACCATAGGTGACGGTTTGCAGTTTATATACGTGAATGTTAGAATCGGAATTTCGCCACAAAATTTGCTGGTAATGTTGATGGTTTTCTATGACTCTTATCTGACGGAACATTTTTTCTAAATCTGACCTGAAACCAATTTTGAATCGACGCCAGCGATTGATTATTGCCGGCAAGTCATTTTGTAAAGCAGGTCCGGGGAACAGTTCCTCATTTAAAGATGGAGAAAGAGGGATTTTGCTGCTACCATCAAAAACCACACGTAATTTTGTCGTGGAACTTGATTCCCGAATAACGCCATGATGGGGCAGAAAATATCCGTAAGGATGAATGGATTGAGGATAGGGACCAATATTGACCATATGTCCTAGCGATTCATATTCATCCATAAAATTCCTATATTCTGAGGCAAATTTGGGGTTTTTAACGAATTTACTCTCCACTTGTTTTAAACGTTTTAAAGCGCTGAAGTCACTGTGACTAAATACAGGGGAAGATTTGCCAAGTATTTGAGAAATGAATGGTAATGCAACGGTATATCTTCCATCAGAGCCACGAGAACAAGTTTTCTTAAAGAACTCCTCACATGCTTTTTCTTCGTGGGTCATTTTTCTTGTTTCTATGAGCTCTTCTTGTTCCCAAAATGCCTTAAGTTGTGTGTCTATGGAACATAAATTGACATTGACGGAATGCGCATAAGAGATTTCGGCGGTAGGGCCAGAAACAATCCATCCAAAATGGGTAAGTTGAAGAAAAATGCCTTTTTCGAATTTCTTTTGTTGCGGTAGTAGTATGTCTCCGTATAAATCACCACCAATAAGTAAATCTATGGGATCATTTTTATCAAATTCAGGGTCAGCTAGAGAAAATTCTGCTAAAGACGGCAATTTATGTCTGTCCACAGGACCAGCACAATAATTATTTAGGGAAGGCATGACATATGCTTGGCCTCTTAATTCAAAGCCTGATTCGTAGTGAGAGGCAAGAGCAAATTTAACATATTTTTTAACCATTACTGTTTTTCCACCTACACCTGTGATCTGAGCTAAAGTGTTGTATTTTTGAAGCCGCAAAAGTTGGGAAGCACTTTCCGTTATCAAAGATGCTTGGGCTCCTTGATCCAAAATGGCCCTTAATTTGAAGTTTCCAAATTCGCTTTTCACTAATACACGAATGGTTGCTAACAGAACATGAGGCATGACTGTGGTATTCAATAGAGACAAGTTGACATTAGAATTCTCAACGGCGGAAGTAGAAGCTGCATTATCGTTCCTGCTATGAGAAACATCGGAGAAACTTGAGGTATTGCGAGAGGTATAATCGTTGTGTACAATCGTATGATGAGCGAGGTGGCAGGATTTACAACGACTTGTACTTTTACAGTCTCTCGAGAAATGACCAATATTTAAACAATTTCGACATACTTTCTTGGAGTTGATAAATTCAAGCTTCGAGGCAGAGGGCATCGCAAGAAATTTGAAACACTTATAAAGAAAATGACGCTTACCACAACAGGGGCAATTTTCATCGTTTATCGTCGCCATATTTATTCGACGATGTTGAGTCATTCTTTGGGATTGATACGATTTCGAGTTGTTTGATTTAAAATGTGGCTTAGGAATGCACTCAGTAAACTCAGAGATCGATTCTAATGTGCGAAATGTCGTTTCGAGAAAGTTGTATAAGATGGTAATTTTAGGAATTTCTGTGGCAGCTTTTAATGATTGTTCCCATTCTTTGCATGTTTGCAGGTCTAATTTACTGACAGTAATGTGAATCAGGAGCGGATCCCAATTGGAACAATCAACACCTAAACTGCTTAGAAGAGCCAAGCTATTTCTCGTAGAATCAAGAAGATTTTTTATGCTTTCACATGAACCATTGGATTTCGGGATACTAAGTAGTTTGCGTAACACAGTGTCAGCTATTTTTCGTTTGTTGTGGTATCTTTTACTCAATGCAGTCCATGCAAGATCATAGCTTGTCTCAGAGGCAGGATATTCGTTGACGATAGTTAATGGGGTATCTCGACAAGAATTTTTCAAAAAATAATATTTTTGAACATTGGACAAGCTTTGGTTGTTGTGAACCAGCGAAATAAACATGTCTCTATATGACACCCAATTTAAATAGTCACCAGAAAAAATTGGAATGTCGATTTTCGGAAGACGAATGTCTGGGATAATGGAATCGTTTCTTTGAGAGGAACTTGAGGCATGAAAAGTAGAATGAAAATTTGGAGAATTTGGAGCTCGATATTCGGCCATAAAATCAAGCAACTTTCCTTTACCACTGAGATAAATTTTGAAAAATGAGTAATGCACATCTTCATGAAAATATGGGACATCATCAGTGTTGATTGATCGGTCACGCACCGCATCAAAAATCTGCTCATGGTTGGCCTCAAAAGTTTTCTTAATTTCTTCTATCTCGTCGAGACAACTTTGACACAAACCTCGCGTTTTTTCACCAACAGACAATTGATCGAAGTCAGAAATTATGCGTTGGACACGGCTCATTAAAATCCTTTGGTCTTCAATTGCTCTCGAGTAATCCTCCATTTTGAATTTGATTAAAATTTGAGGCAGCAAAATGTGTCAAAATGGCGCAAATGTTCATAAATTTATATAAAATGTCTATTCAATTTCTCACCAGTATGAGACAGGACCAAAATATAACAAAACTTGTTTGAGCTATTGTTGCAGTACGAAGTCTTCACTTTGTTTTTTCCAAAAAAAATATCCTTTTCAGCACAGGTATAAGTATTGAAGTTCAGCACAGTGGTAAGTATAGATGTTCAACACAGGGGTAAGTATTGAAGTTCACAGTATTATTCTTTTAAATTTGTCCAATTAATTTTCTCTGGGTGTAGATTTGTTTAGATTCAGAATTTTCCCAGAATAGCGGCAGACATATATTTTGAAAAAATGTTCACAGTTGTTTAAAAGATTTTTATCGCAATTTAATTGTTTTGGAAGTTCACTTTTACTATTCTTTAAAAGTTATTAATCTTTCTCATATTATTCATTATTTTATTTCACAAATTTGAGACCGAGTAAAGTTATTTTCTTTTTTGATTTAATTAAAGTGCACGAACACTGTTTTTAATTAAGTTTTAGCGTCAGGAATTTTCACTTGTCCCGGGTTTCGGCACCATAAAAATGTAGGAGAATGGCTGCTTGAGCCAGAGCAAAAAAAACACAATAAAATGTTCTTTAAAATTTATTGTCACTGGGGCAATTTTATTTAATCAAAATTATAATTAAATATAATTTGGTAATAGTTTTGCTCCTGATGGGACACTTAATTCTTATTAATATTCTTAAACTTTAATTTATAAAATTTGCGACTTAGGTCGTTTTGTTTGTATTAGCAGCAAGGCAGAAAATTATGTTAGCGTTAGATCGATTTAATGCAGCACGGCAGAGAAAAGGAACAATACTAAAAATAGATTTGTAATCGTCAACATAACGAGCCAGCATTGATCATATTTACTGTCTCTGCTGACGCTATTGCTTTGTTTACATTTCCACTCATTAGGGTAAATAGAGAAATTAACAACAACAACAAAGCATAACGTAACGGAGGCAGCAAAGATCATTGTCCGGCTTATGTTGAGACAAATATTGACCTTGAATCGAAGAATGCGATTAAAAGAGGAATTGCCAAAAATTGCAATTAGAAAAGAAATAGGGATGCCGGTTGAAAAATTTACAATGTAATTAGGGATGTCAGTTCAGACAAATAGGGATTGTAAATTATAATAAAAATAATAAGTTAATTATAATAAATGAAATAATAAGACTTAGAATAAAAATAATAAAATACTTTTGCTCCAACAGGTACAAAGAATTATTATTATTATTCTGCATTAATCGTCGATCAAAAATAAAAAACTACATACCGTCTGCCTTATCATTACAATAAAAATAATAAAATATTCCTTTAAAATTAAGAAGTTACTATAACTTACTTTTAACTTACCAAGTAATGAGTAACAGCTAATTGTTGTGGCCCATTTTACAGCTTAATATAATCCAATCAACCAAAATGCTAGACTTCTTCCTTGTCCTTAACTCTCTTCTTAGGCGTGTCGATTGGCCTCAATTGTGTGATCAGGAAAGTTTTTCTGTCTTTGGTTCATTTGAACCCCTAAATATTTTGCGACCATCTCCAAAAGCAAGAGACCCCTCTGTATCTCCAGATTTAGACTCGTCTATATGTTTTGCTTGTCTACAATATTTGGCTATATTCGTCAACGAAATCAGCATAACAAAGCCAGAAGTTTACCTTTTGTGTATTTCGGATATCGCCTGTTAGTAATGTTTGCATTTTTTCACAAAAATTAGTAGAGGTCCATTCTTCCCGCTGTCCTAAACTCTAGTGTCCTTTGGTTTTTATTTGTGACCTTTATAACGGCTGCAAAACCAGGAACATTTTCAATTGTTTGTCCATTTCAACCCCTAAATATATTACGGACATCCTTGAAAACAATAGGCCTTGCCCTTCTGCCCCTAACCCTACTACAAAATCTATATTAACATCATTATTGGCATCTTTTTATGCGATTTTTTAGATTTTATACTTTTATGTCATTAAAATTGACAAATATTGTCAAAATCAGTCCAGCCATTCTTGAGATATAAGCATTCTAGCTAACATCCAGTCCCTTTGTATATATAAATTGTATATATTTCGTTATATATATCCGATATATTTACTATCGGCCTCTACATAACGGTCAGAATTGACCTCTTCGTCTATTCGTGATTTCGCCAGGATTAAAAATATTCGCGGTTTAATGGGGAATTGACTTTTATTTAATACAAATGTTATGGTCAATATCACCCACTAAATATTACTCGATGACCATCAAAATTGGTAGGCTTCTGTCCAACCCTAAGCTCTATCCCCATGCTAACTTCCGAATCGATTGGTCTATAATTGCAACCTGTAGAGCAACTGCAAAATCAGGCAATTTTTCAGTTTTTTGTCCATTTTAACCCCTAAATTCTAAATTTCGTGAGGATCGGGCCATAATTGCGACCTGTAGAGTGATTACAAATTAACATGGACAGACGGACGGACGGACATACATAGCTATATCGACTCAGCTCGGCGATATAGGAAGATACATATATACTTTCCTATGTGGAAAACCAATATTTCGAGGTGTTACATAATTTTTGGCCCAATCAAACTTATAATACCCCCAACACGTAGTGTTGTAGGGTATAATAAAACTTATCGAAAAATATAACATTTTCATCAGAAAACGTCAAGATTCAGGTGTTCTAAACGTGTGCCTCAAAAACAAAATATACAAGACAGAAATAATACCATAACTGTTTAAGAATATTTTATACACCATCCGCTTAAGTATTCCTACCTCAATACCTGGACGATTGGTGAATGCTCAATTTTTTGTTTCGATATTTTATTCAGGACACAATTCTTTACAGCCATGAAACTAAGCAGGTTTCATTCGGTTATTACTTTTACAACAAGGCTTAAAAGTTTCAATTAGATAAAAAAAGAAAATTATCGAAACTCTAAAAGTTATAACGAATGAAAGAAGAATATCGGAACAGCAGAGAAAACATAAAGACATAAATAAGCCAACGAATGCTCAAGGCTGAAATATATTTTAACCGCTCCAATATATATTCTCTGTTTGTCCTTAACTTTGAAGCAATTGAAAGTAATGGTAAACGCTTACGGTGGTTGAGCATTGAGCATTGGGAAGGCAACAGGCAATTGAGAAAGGAAAATATCGAAAAGTATTGTAAGACGATTGGGCGGTCTGAGGCTTCTTGGTGTAAAGTTGTTGAATTGCCATTCTATATTCTCAGGTTTCCAGTCGTTCATGTTTTCTTGTTCCAGATAACAAGAAAAGTTTGTCTTCTTTGCTACAACTTTTTTTTATCAAAGTGTAGAGGCTATTCCTTTTATTGTTTTCGAACAACAAAATCGATATGGCATTTAGTTGTGTGCCTTATAATCGTGGCGTGTGTGTGTGTGTGGGAAAATATATGGCGTGGTGCAACCCATACCATCTATTTTTTGACATTCCATTATTTTACACGAAAATTAAAGGTATCTACAAAAAAACGAATAGAAATGCAAAAGTATTAATTATTACAGCTGGTGTGCTGAGTTCAATGCAAAACATATTTTTTTAAATCTTTAAAGCATCAGACAATTTTTATTTTTGTTTAGCCTTACTTGGATTATATAGCGAAGTATGAAGCTAGGTCAAAATTTAAACAATAATTACTACCTGCGAAACATGGATTTCATATCCATCCTCAAAATGTTGACCTTTAATCATTATTATACCCTCAGCCATATGACTTCAGGGTGAGATTAAACAAAAACTGCAACAAAGTCAAACGCCATAATTTTTACATTTTTTTTAAATTTTATTGAATGAAAGCAAAAAATGTTGGAAATGGCATCAAATTTTAGAATAAGTTTAGATTTGTTCGAATTGGTCACCTTTGGCACGAATTATGGCCTTCAAACAGCCAATGAGACTGTCACACGCTGCCCGAATGCTGCCCGGCGAAGCGCTTGCTTGAGGTGATCGACACTTTGGTATTTTGTAGTGCCAACTTTGCTTTCCAAAATACTTCAGACACAATAATTCAGCGGATTTGGAACCTCATTTTGTAATCATTCTTGGGTGGCTCGTGTTGGTTGCGATGGTGCCTGCTGGAATCTCCCAGGTCTGCGTCCAAAATGTTTACGTGCTCAAGGCTTTAGTACACTCTCCAGAATATTTTCGCGATAATCTGATTTGATCCAAATTTGGTACATCGTAATATTATTTTCAAACTTAGATCGAGTTCGGAGATGGACAATATCGACCAACTCCTTCTGGTACCTGCCTCCCAAAAAGAACCTTTATAGCAAATAATTTACTTCATAAAACAAAAAAGCATCATTCAATATTGTTCCAATTTTTCAAATCCTAATATTTGTATCAAATCTAGGTCGGTTGCGAAAAAACGACTCGCTCCGTCAAGTACCTCCACCACAAAGGATCAACATTTTGAATAATCATAACTCTCATATAAAGTGATATAAGAGTCCGATTGTCAAATTTCGAACATCCCAATATTTTTACTAACACAAGATCTCATGTGAAGTTGGTAGATGGTCCCCTTCTTCTGGTACCTCACCCCCAACGGGTCAAAATGAGCTCTAGAATAACAATGAAGCTCTAGGGCGGCACATCCCAATAGATATATATCAACACAAGATCTAGTGTGAATACCGAATATATCGAATCACTCCATCTAGTATCTCCCAAAGTGCCAAAATTGTGAATTATAAATCGTTTAAAATTGGAGTAAAAGTAAAATTGTCTTCGAAGTTAGCACATCTCAGAACTTCTATCAACACAAGCTCAGGTGTAAACAAGTAAGCAAAGGCTACAGTCGAGCGGGGCCGACCATTGAATACCCTACAACACTATAATAAACCATGCAGTTTATATAGGCGAGATACTCGAATGAACTCCACAAGATATTGTGACAAATAATAAAAGAAAACCATCATGTTTCGTTCTCTAATTTTCGGATAATAGCAACCTAAACGAATTTGCTCATTTCCAATTTATTGGTAGATGTCGCTGGAATGGACATTTTCGTATTTAGTCTACAAAAGTTGGCAAACTATTTCACACATTGAATATTTTTGGATGGCCATCCGAAACTACTTGGCTTTTGCAATGTGCGGTAACCCCCATTCAAATGTGCGTGAGGATCGGGCGATAATTACGACCTGCTGACAATTTGGCAGTTTTTTGGTCCATTTCAACCCCTAAATATATAACGATCATCTCCAAAAAGAGTGGTCATCTATTCTGACCCTCATCTTATCCCCATGCAAAATTTCGCAAGGATCGGGCCATAAATGCGATCTGTATATGATATCCTGATATCCTAACTACTTAGTTTTGTTAGCTGTAGAAATATTACCAAATGTTTAATTCAAAATGAAAATATGCCAAAACTGAAACAATATGAGAAAATGTTAAAAAACCAATATTTTCATCTTTAGAGAGATATTTTTATGGGATTTTTTAGACGTTTTTTCTTCAATGCCAAGAGGCCATTCTGAATTAATGAGAACTGTCGAAATCAGTTCAGCCGTTCTCGACATATAAGAGATCTTTCAAGCATATCTTCTTTGATAGACATATATATCGCACATATTTTGCTATATATCCGATTTGTTGGATGTTAACATCAATGTAAAGGTCAGAAGTAACCTTGTCATGACTTTGTGATTTGGCCGGGAATTAGAAAATTCACGGTTTAATGAAAAATTTAGATTTTTTTCCACATAAAAGACATGGTCTATTTTACCCGCTAAATATTATCCGTTGACCACCCAAATTGGTAGGCTTCTTCCCCGCCCTAAACTCTAGCTACATGGGAAATTCCACGTCGATTGGTCTATAATTGAGACCTGTATAGCTACTGCAAAATCCGACATTTTTTCAGTATTTGGTCCATTTCAACCCCTAAACATTTGGCGATCATCTCCAAAAGCAATAGGGTTCTATTCTGGTCCAAGCCCCACCTACATCGGGCCATAATTGCGACCTGTAGACGACGGACAGACGGACGGACATACATAGCTAGATCGACTCAGCTCGGCGAGCTAGGAAGATCCATATATACTTTCCTATGTGGGAAACCAATATTTCGAGGTGTTACATAATTTTTGGCCCAATCAAACTTATAATACCCCCAACACATAGTGTTGTAGGGTATAAAAATCATGTTAAACCAAGTTGCCTACTCGAATAACACACTCCCATTTTTAAAGCAACAAAAACAACAATATATGCTCGAAATACTACATATTGCAAATGTAGCTGAAAATGAACTTATGAATTGTCATACGGACACGAAGCAGTGTGCTCAAATGTATGAGAATGTCATTGATATGCAGAAATATTTTACTAAATAATAGGTTAAGTAAATTTTGAGAAAATACTCTGTGAATTTAAATTGCCAATCTCATATTTGATAATCAGATTTGTCAGCCATATTTTGGATTTTCTGCCAATTACCTTGGGTAAATACCGTTTATTCGTTGCACTACTTTAGGATAGAACCAGTAAAGAAAGTCCTAAAGTCGGGCGGGGCAGATTTTATGATACCCTACACCACTTTGCCAATTCAGTAGAGCTCCGCATAACAATTAAAAGTTTTTATGGGAGAATTCAAGCATATACGCTATGATTACAATTATAATTTAAAGTTCACGAGACTAAATATGCCGAAGCATTTGTATTTTTTAAATTCGGACTTGTATTGCCCATTTGGTGCGAAATTAATTTGAAATCGGATAAAAATATATATGGGAACTATATCCAAATCTGAACAGATCTAGATAAAATTTGGCAAAGATATTTCTGAGCTGTATTTGATATATTTCCCTGAATATCGTTGTTACGGAGTGCATATTACGGTTGTGGGTAACAAATATATCAAATCGGATGAACAATATATATGGAAGCTATAGCTATATATAACCGATCTTCACCAAATTTGACATACTAGCTTCTAGACTCAATTCGGTCGTAAGTGCCAAATTTCATCCCATTTAGACAAATGTTAGACGTTTGGTGCACAATAAATGGTAAATCGGACAAAATTATATATGGGAGCTATATCCAAATCTGAACCGATCTCGATAAAATTTAGCAAAGGTATTTCTGAGCTGCATTTGATATATTTCCCCAAATATTGTTGTTACAGAGTGCATATTACGGCTGCGGAAGACAAAAATAACAAATCGGATGAACAATATATATGGGAGCTATAGCTATATCTGAACCGATTTCGATCAAATTTGGCATACTTATTTTCAGGCCTAATTTGGTTGTATGTGCAAAATTCCATACAATTCGGGCTGATATTACAAGTTTGGTGCACAATAAAAGGCAAATCGGACGAAGATATATATGGGAGCTATATCTAAATTTTTACCGATTATCTCCAATCTCAATAGGGTTCGTCCTTGGGCCAAACAAATGTTGTTTGCAAAATTTCATCTCAATCGGATAATAAATGCGACCTGCATTTTGTTCACAAGAATACATGGACAGACGGACAGACGGACTGACATGCATAAATCAACTCAGAAAGTGATTCTATGCAGATCATCAAAAGGAACTACGGGTCTATTTCGTTTCCTTTTGCCTGTTACAAACAAATGCACAAAGACATAATACCCTGACCACCTTGTGGTGTAGGGTATAAAAATAATAGAAATGAGTTCTAACAAAGTATTCGTAAAACAATTTGACAACACAATCTTTACTATCTAACCAACGTAGGCGTCCGACACTGCATACGTCATGCTTTGCAGCCAATAAATAACCGGATCCATATTCCAGATTTTCAATTTTTTTCCATGTAAAAATTCTTTTGCAGCTCAAATATGACTTTTCTATTTCTCCAATAACATTAAATGTCCATTCAGTATACAACAGTTTGAAAGTGCATGTGTGAGCATTGATATTGAAACCCTTTCAATGAATAAAGTTTATTTTCAACGAAACTTATGCTCTGCTCCAGAATTTATAAGAATGGAATATTTTTTTTTTTTTTGCAATATTAACAAAGCAAGCCCTTGCATGGTACAATTACTGCAAGGTACTACATGTTAACTTCAAAACCAAACTGGTTTGACTTTGCCGTATAATTAACATCAAATTCGATATTATTTTGTGTCTTTTACCATTTCAATGTATATTAGGGTTGTACTTTTTATACCCTCCAGAATACATAGTATGGAGGGTATATTAAGTTTGTCATTCCGTTTGTAACTCATCGAAATATTAA